TGCATTCCCGTTTCGATATTCGAAACGAGAGAGAGAGAGAGAGAAGTGGGAAGACAAACGAAAGGGAAGGGAAGGAACTGCGGGGGCACAGATAATCAAATTGCGGAATGCATCTTCCCGCGGATAGCGGGCAGTTTTTGACTTCAAGACATTATAAAATGGCCTCACCCCCATGGTGCACCAACATGAGTCGATACTCTTCCTGTTTTTGGGTTTTTTTTGTAACTTTTTTTGCGTCGTTTGACGCGGACAAACATTAGTCAAGACTCTCGCGGGCAAACGGGAGTCGAGACTCTTCCTGCTTTCTTTTTTTTTTTTGCTTTGAGGAAAAAGCAGCAGGGGCAAGAAGTGGGAAGACAAACGAAAGGGAGGGGAAGGAACTGCGGGGGCACAGATAATCAAATTGCGGATTGTTTGCTTTTTTTTTCCCTAGCAGTGGGACATACCAATGCAAGAGAAGACTACATGAGGAGGAGGAGAATGCAATGGGACACAGGAAGCTCACACATTGAGAGAGAGAGAGAGAGAGAGAGAGAGAGAGAGAGAGGTCCTTTTGTTTGGCAAACAATTCAAGTGGCAACATATTCATTACTTGCTAGACGGCCTGTTGTGGCTTCGCTCACAAACAAAAATGAGAGGAGATAATATTTTTTTCGAACTTGTGTTAAGTTCTCTGGTTTTGGGATTGAAGCCCTCCAAGTTTAGCAGCAGCTATCACTCTCATCCCTCTCCTCTGTTCAGCGATCCAACTTTGTACGATGGCCAGATAATATGGAGGAGAGGGATGAGAGAGTGATGAAGCCCGGAAGTCAACGAAGCTTACCGATAGTGTCTCTCGGCAAATTATATCCACAGTCGTCTGTGTAGGCTCAATGCCCTTCCGATACTCAGAGAGCAGCTGCAACAACCCACCAACCCACCAACCCACCAACAACAAGCCAACAAGAAGCCAACAACCCACCACACACACACACCAAAAAAAAAACAGAAAAAAAAAAAAAAAGCCAAGAACCCACCAAACCATCAAATCAATAACAAACCACCAAATCAACAACAAATCAACAACAGACCATCAAACCAAATCAGCAAACCAACAAACTGGTGACAGTCTACAAAACACACACACACACACACACACACGGACACACACACTGCAGTTCTCATCAGGGGTTTGAACCTTGACAAGTCTGCTAGGGATTGCAGGCCTGGGTTGGTGTGAATAAAGTCGACCACCTTTTCCCTCTCAACTTCTCAAGGGTATTATTGCTAACTCTGGGCGACATGGCGAGTACTTAACCATCAAGCAAATGCATCCTGGGCAGACTGTCTGTCCAGGTTCAACCTCCTGATGAGTCGGTGAAAGACCGATGAAACACTCTGGCACAGGCATGCTGTATTTGAGCGAATATGACAACACACAGTGTATAGTGATTTAGTTTTATTCCCCCCCCCTCTCCTCCCCCGACATTTCCTTTTGCCTTCTTTTTCAAATCATCACTCGATTCGAGAGACTGAGTTGTCACAGCCCCTCATTTGTTGTCCTCTTATCCCTCCCTCTCTGCCAACGGTTTACGGGGCAGCTCTGTTTGACGATATATGTGGGACTTGTCATCTAGGATCTGTTATGTTTGTTTTTTGGCATCCCTTGTCTGAATCCCGGTTGGTTTTGTCCCGTTGTTCGGTCTATTTTGACGAGCGTAGCGGTGCTTTCATGTGGGACCCGTCATCCATTTTTTTTTTGTTGTTCGGCCTATGAGAGCATGAATGGTTTAGGAATGGGAATACCAACATCTTGATGACGAACAAGGCCATCTGCTGTATATAGATACGTATTTGGGATTCCTTTTTTTTGCAGGCAAGAGTGTTTTGATATCCTGGTTGGTCTTGTCCCTTGGGGGCGGTGCTTTCATGTGGGGCTTGTCATCCAGGATCTTGTTGCCCCCTGTTTTGTTGTATTTGGCTGTTCCCTTCCTCTTTTCTTTGCCTCTTTGCCTCTTTGGCTGTGTGCAAGTGGGTCGATATGACACACGGGGGTGGGGGCAGCCGCCGCTCAACCTACATCCAGGTGGGCGGACTTGTACGCAAGAGGTTCTGAACAGGGGGAGTTGTAAGAAAGAAGATAAAAAATGAATTGATATCTTTGTTGTTTCCTTTTGTTTTTTTTGGCTTTTGCGCTCTCATAACTTTGTGACAGTATGTGACAATATATATACGATATATATCGGTGAAACTCCGACGAAACAGTTTGTCACAGCCCCTCGTTTGTTGTCCTCTTCTCTCTCTCTGCCTACGGTTTACCGGGCAGTTCTATTTGTGACGATATATATATATATATATATATATGGTCATGCTCTTTGTCAATAGTTCTGTGACAATATATATATCTAGGTTGTTGGGTCGGACGTCCGGGACCCCCCTGACCGTCCGGGATGACCGACCGGACGTCTGGTCGGACGTCCGATCGGACAGGGGTTGTCCGACCTAGCGCAAAAAAAAAAAAAAAAAAAAAAAAAGTTCTCAGAAAAATCTTTAAAAAATATATGCTATGTAAMATAACAATACAAGCAACTTTTGCCTTGGAGTCATGTTCAAATTCGCAGTCAATGAGTTAAAAATCGAAAACCGAAAAAAAAAAAAAAAAAACGAAAAAAAAAACTTTTTCTCCCAGACGACGGGGGTACCGGACGTATGGGGGAGACGTCCGGGGGAGACGACCGGCCCCCTACAGACTGTCGGTTCACACCCCATCACAAGCCAGCAAAACATCCACTAAACAAAGAAAGGTCTGTCACGGCCAATAAATACACTCCAGACGTGCCGCTGGCACTAGAGGCACAGCATGGCCGCCTAGTAACGGCCCCGACCACTGCCGCTCGACCTGACCGGAAAAAAACGTAGCAGGAAGCTAGCGAATGGGATAAGGTGTTTATGCCAGAGGAGTCCAGAGTTTTTTTCTTTTTTTTTTTTCTTTTTCCGGGAGAGTCCACACCGTTCCGAGTGAAGAGAAGGGAGAACCGAGTGAAGTGAGCTGTCTGCGAAAGTTCGCAGACCTGTCTTTGACTGTGCGATGCGTGAAGTGAGCGGAGAGATTCGCGAGAAGCGAGAGAAACCGAAAGAGCATGTTTCAGCGAGAGCAGAGGAGGAGGCTGCTGTCTGCATGCGTGACAGACAAGCTGTACGATGAAGATGAACTCACTTTTTTTTTTTTTTTTTTTTTTTTTTTTTTTTTAACTCACCTTTGCAAGACTCGAATGGACGATCCGGAGATGGCTGGACATCGTGGTACTATGCTCTCCCGCTTTTGCAGACTTTGACGGCACGTCGGAGTCCGCAGACCTGGAAATGACCTTGCTGAAAATGCCATGCAGCAAGTGTTTGGCACTTCTGAATGTTTTGCGAGTTACCTGCCAGCCAGTGGGGGGATGAACGTGGTCGTGAATCATTCCTTTGAAATTTGAATCCTTTCCTTTGGTCAGTGGGGGATTGATTCAGTTCCTCTTCAATTTGGTTCCTCCTTTCTACACCCCTCTTTTCAGAGAGAACTTCAGACCCTTCTTTTCACACCCCTCTCTTCGTTTAAGAGAAATTATAAGACCAGTGATTCCACCGCAATGTTTGGGATTCAAATTTGATTTTGGAAATTTCCAAGCTGCTTTCCTCCTTTTTTATAAGTTTTTACACCCCTCTTTTCACACCCCTCCTAAAGCTGTTTTTGGAAATTTCCAAGCTGCTTTCCTCCCTTTTTATAAGTTTTTACACCCCTCTTTTCATACCCCTTTTTTTACACCCCTCTTTTTACACCCCGTTTTTTACACCCTTCTTTTTACACCCATCTTTTCGTTTAAGAGAATTTAGCAGACCGCTCCAAATTTCACCGCATTATTTAGGATACAAAGCTGTTTTTCAAAAGTGCCAAGGTGTTTTTCAAAGTGCTTCCCCCCGCTCCTCCCTGCCCCCCCTCCCCCTCCCCCTCCCCCCTCCCTCTTCCCTTTTCTTGTGGAGGACATCTGGGGCCATGTTTGACTGGCAAAGAGGAGTGGATAAAGGGCCTGAATATGGACGTGTTTTATGCAGACATGCAGGCTTACAGATCAATAGTGATTTTCTGCACCTCTTCCTAGCCGGTTAATTCCTAGCTGGAATACCTGCCCTCATTTCAAGAACCCCCAAATCAGACAACCTTAAACCCCAAACCCCAAACCCCAAACCCCAAACACTGAACCCTGAACCCTGTACCATAGTGTACAGTAAATGAAGGAACCTCTGAATCGGGTAACCTTTTATGGATTTCAAAACAAACAAAAAGTGAGATTTTTCTTTTTGTTGGGGGGGGTGCGGGGGGGGGTGCGGGGGGGTGCAGAAAAACTTTGAAAAATGGCAAGAAAATAATTTCGTGGAATTTGAATCTGTGGAAGGTATAATAAGTTTGTATTAGAAGAAGGGATGAAAGCACGAATCAGTGTTGTCCTCTCACACTGAGCAAAGCAAAAAAAAAAAAAAAAAAAAAAAAAAAAAAAAAAGAGGTTCAAAAAAGTCATTGCAAGTTATGAATGGATGAGAGATCCATTGGTCATCTACTGGTTTTGGTAGGAATCTGTTTGAAATTGGATGGGCTTAAAAAGAATTAGACTTAAAAGTAAAAAAAAAAAAAATGCAAAAAAAAAAAAAACATAACGCTGGATGTGTGTTTAGTACTGTTTACGAATTGAGCAAATGTTCAACATGGAGAGCAGGCAACAATTTTCCACGAGCGATAAAAATGAAAGGCACTCCATATGGCAAAAAGCGCCTGCGCCCACCTGGGCTGCCAACCGGGTTCGCCCGGGTCACAGTCAAGTTGTTTGGCGGGGCAGCCCAGCCTGGCAAGGGACGCCTGCCCGAAAAAAAAAAAAAAAAAAAAAAAAAAAATTCTGAACAAAAACTATCTTATGCAGAAAAACAAACTGAACAGCTTTTGCCTCAGGTGACGAGACGTGAAGTGAAACGAGACAGCAGAACTGGCTCCGCCGAACACACAACCGTGCATTACCACGGCAAACACTGTGTGAAAACCAATCTCGAAAAACCCGCTCTCCAAAAAATAAGATAGAAAGACCGAGAGCTCTCATAGCAGAGCTATGATCAATGCTACCGCTCATCCATAGGTAGGGGGAAAAAAAAAAAAGAAAAAAAAAAGACCCTTACCCCCCCCCTATCTAACCAACTAACTCAGTTAAATTAACTAGACAGCTAGGCTACCAGAGTGGCCCGGGTCCACTTGCCCGGCCGGGCAAAAAAGAAATTAAAAAAATAAAAAATAAAAATATTTTTTAATTTAATTTTTATTTTAAAATTTGGTAAAGAATTTCGATGTGCCCCTGAGGCAAAAGTTGTTCAGTTTATTTTTCTACATAACATACTTTTCTTTTCGGATTTTTTGGATTTTTTTTTTTTTTTTTTTTTTGGCTGGGACCTCCCCTGGTCCTTGCACGGCTGCGCCGCCCGGGAAAATAGGGTGACTCAGGCGGCCCGGCTGGTAGCCTAGCTAGACAGTAGATAGTAGATAACCAACCCACATGCTACCCCGAATGGTCCGAACCAACTATCTAAACCAGGGAAGTACCCAATTGAAAACCAAATGCAATAATAGTTGGGACATGTGTCTTATCAGACTCTTATGGTCTCTTACCTGTGTTTTAATTTGCTGAAGCTGATCCTGGGACAAATGCGCATCCTGCAACAGTGTATGGGCATACCTGCAAGAGCATAGATTCAGGATGAGTGCTGATAAGGTTATAATTGAAATTTAGTTCAGTAAGACAATAAAGAAATAAAAGAAAAGGATCAATTAATAATTTAATACTGATTTTAATAATATTTTATACTATTTATAGTGTTTAAACTTTAATCTTGAAAAACAGTAAAATATAATAATAATTGCAATGAGTCTATGAACTCACACTGCTTCTCTCACCACAACTTGAATGGATTCACAATTTCACACCAAGCTCCAAACATGAGATGTCAACCAACACGACATGATAACGCTTCAGAAATTGCTTCGAAAATCGAAATTCGGCCTCATTGAACGAAGTCGCACGTACGCACGCTTGGGTGGCCATTGGCCGCCAAGCATCCTCAAAAAGGTACAAATCTTCTCTCTCTCTCTCTCTCTCTGTGTGTGTGTGTGTGTGTGTGTGTGTGTGTGTGTGTGTGTGTGTGTGTGTGTGTGTGTGTGTTTTACATGCTGAGCCTGCACACGGGCCCCATTTTGGGGGCCCGATGGTTGCTGGGGGTTTCCTGGCCGCATGCCCTTTGGACATGCGCCCTGGAGGCCCACGGCTGGCCCTAAGGCCGGAGGATTCGATTTGAGGCAGCATTCATTTATTTATTTTCTGTCCTWWTTTTGTTTGTTCAGGCGTCGTTTCAGACTTGCAGCTCGTCCGAACAGACCAAAGGCCGCACCTTGGGCCTGGTTCGCTCGCAGGCAGGCCCGTTTGGGCCAGGTTCGTACTCGTCCAGTAGCGGACGTCCCTGCTGTATCAGCAGGGAGGGTCTGGACGTCCGGTCGGGAGCCAGACCCAGTAGGCCACGTTTCTGGCCTAGGACCAGAGGCACACAGAGGCAGAGCGGCGAGGCCCAGTGATACTTATAGCTGGGCCAGGCCAAGGCAGACACACAGTTCGAGTAGCTCACTTCTTGGGCGACACGCTGCTGGAGCAGCGTTACAGCGCTACAGCGCTACGCTGGTAGTAGAGGTAGAGGCGTAGGTACTAGGTAGGCAGAGGGGCGGAGGCCATACCTGCGTCGGCGGAGCTCCTACCTGGGTGCCATAGCTGGTCTTCACGCCAGCACATCTGCGGCACAGAGGAGACACGCGGTGACAGTCAGTACATGGCTGCAGTTACCTGCAGGTGAGATAGCGAGGAGGATGACATCTTCTTCTTCTTCTTCTTCTCTTGCCCTCCATCTCTCCTCCTCCCTCCTTCCCTCTTCTTCTTCTTCTTCTTCTTCTTCTTC